GGCGTTGGCCAGATTTGGATTTTTCAGATGTAATCCTGGATAGGACCCTTTCATTGAACGTCGCGTGAAAGTGGAACTTAATGAAGGCCTAAGTACTTTTTCGTAGTTTTTAGTTTTCGGATTTGAAAAATCGTCGGTTACAGTGGCCTGCTTACTGAGCAGAAAAACGCGGTCCCAGGTCCTTACATATCAAAGAGATTTATGGTAAAATCACTTGTGTATCGTGTATTTTACGAAACTCGTTGTTGTCGTTGGTTCCGGGTTTGAATGGATACACAAATTTGAGCAACGGTATTATGTGATATGAGGTGCTCGGTGGCCTTAGAGCAACCGTTTTTGCTTACTGAGCAGAACATCATGAGTCTAATCTCAGGCCCATCCACATCAAGATTCGTCAATCGTTTTATTTGTTAATATGACTACATGGTAATAACAGCAACTCGGTGATTAAAAAGGTGCTCGTCTGCCTAGTGGCAAACGTTTTTGCTTACTGAGCAGAAGACCGTGGGTTTAATCCCAAGCTCCTTCGCGTTATATGATCGTTAGGACATCAATTCAGCTTATCGTTTACCAAAACGAACCCTGCTGCAAACCCAACCCTCTTATCCAACATCCCAGTGATTCCTCGTGGAAGTGCAGAGGTGTTCTCGGTTTCCATCAAAGCGAGTGTCATGTCAACACAATCCTTCCCATTCCTTTCTTGACCTGTGTTCGGGCGCGGCCGGCGCTGGTATTGCCTAATTTAAGATCACCAGTTTTTACACATTGAGGATGATTGCTAGTCCCAAGCATCATCTATTGGGTCTCTGTGTAATTACAGCTGATCTGGCAGTAACAGAGTAGCAACCGTGGGCGGTCAATCAAGCTCAAGCTCACCACTAGTCGGGCTTTGCATCGCACTGGTTGGCCATTTGCGTCCTCCTTCATCCGGAAAATCCATTTCGACTTCAACGGCTTAACTACTGTTGGACAACTCGTTTGTTTTCCTTCATGGATCCCGATCAGGTTGATTTCCGATTTCATCAAACATCTAGTGGATCCTGTAAAGTAATCGAACAACTCGACAGTGAGCATGCATAAGGGCGTAAACGCGATGATGGATTCTCTTCGCCGATTTTCTCTTTTGTTAATAACTCGCTTGGATTAACGTTCCTCGGTGCACAGCTTTTGATAGCCAATACAACCTGTTGCAGCACTGCATCGAACAAATTCTAGAAAATTGTATCGCTTAGCTGTAGCAATGCAAAGAGAAAATCGATGAAGAGAATCGATCATCGCGTATACGCCCTTATGCATGCTCACTGTCGAACTTATACCAGGTAACCTGTGCTCTCGTCTGCTGTGCCTTGACAGTGCTTCCCGTCTTTCTGTTTGTAGAGGGAGCGCGTCGTCGACTGTTTCATCCAGTTCTGGTTTACTCTAAAGAGCATCGATCTCATCAGTAGGAGCAGGGACATCCTCATCATCGTCTTCATCTTTAGGTCACACTTCATCGCCGTTTTCGGGTTGAGCTTCGATTTCCCCCACTTGCTCGAAAGAAAACCTGACTAACAGCGGTACTTTTGCTTCAATGTTGGACTTCACCCTCCCTTCATCAGCATGTGGAAATGAGCCAAACTTCACATCCCTTGCAATCGTTATCTTCCTCGCATTTATGTCCTACTTTTTGACCTTTCGGATCCAGCTTCTTGCGGTACTGCGTTGGTATCCACGCAAAACATTTGCCGCCGAATATCCGTAGCTTGTCCAAATTCGGCTTGGAGTTGAGCCACACTTCTGCTGGAGAGACACCGGTTGGCAAGGTTGATGTAGGGCTGCGATTTAGAAGATGCACACACGCTAGTGCCGCGTCAGACTACAGATTCTTCGGTACCATTGAGTCGATGAGTGCTGAACGGATCTTCCCTACTAAGGTTCAGTTGAACCTTTCCGCCACGCCATTTGGTTGCGTCGATCATTACCGATTACCGATCATTGCTGTCGCCGTTAGAAAACCTCCGACTTCCTCTTCAGCAGATAAATCATCCCGAAGTGACTGTAGTCATCGATAAAGCTGACAAATATAGAGACCCATCCCAAACTGGTGGATCGATGGGGTCACAGACGTCCGAATGGATTCTCTCAAGAGGACGAGTTGCGCGGTTCCTTGTACCGCTGAAAGACTGACGACATTGCTTACCTTGAACACATGATTCACAGACGCCAATCTTCGGTGCCTTAGGACTACGTCTGTGATTTCTATATGGGGATACACTTAGTGAAAACCGAAAATGGAACATGTAACAAAATTATGAAAGATTTTGAACGTTAATAACTCAACTTCCCCTGGACCATTTTCAATAATTTTAACACCATTCGATCAGAAATATTTCTACGCATCTGTTAAATTTAAGGTGATACTCTAAGGGAGCCTAAGCGTGAAACTTCAAAGGCACAAATGTCTGCTTCTACAAAATATACAATTATGAAATTGGTACTCTCTGTTTGCAGTAGCACAGCAAACAAGGTGTAGCAATTTCAAATTTTTATGTTTTGTGGAAGCTGACATTTGTGCCTTTGAAGTTTCACGCTAAGGCTTCCTTAGAGTATCACCTTGACCATATTTTTTTAAATTTTACTATTGAAAATTGCACGAATGTGCAACTGTTGCTATGATAATTAAAATTATCACCGATTGCCTGCAAAAAGCGATTTCCCTAACACAGATTTGAATTGAAATTGAAAGCTGAGTTCCATCCGGTCTCACCATACGGTTTTATTCAATAACCGCGTGGTAAGTGGTGGTGTTCTCTAGTACACAACGAAAGGCTCCCCGCAAGCAACTAGCTATCAAGGCAGCCCACAACCGCTGATCGAATTCAGTACCAATCACCGTGTGTGGTGTTGTCCGGTTGTCGGCATCAGCAGCAGCGTTGACATTGTTCTCCAGTACACAACGAAAGACTGCCTGCAAGCAGCGAGCTGCAGCCCACATGAGCATCCATAGAAGGAGGAACACCGCTATTGATCGGAATCAGTAGCTCTTCGTGAGCCGCTGTGGGCCATCTATGTCAAGCGCGTCATACAAAAGAGTATAAACAGAGAGAACCCCGCTCAAATTCCTATTCCTACACAAAACGCAAGCTTCTGCTGCAGTTAACAAATAAGATTTATTATATAAGACCACGTAGTCCTTCGTCACCATTGCGTACAACCCCATAGGGCTGTCCCTTGTAGTTTTTCATTCCTTTCAGCTCACCTTGTTGGGCCATCGCTTCCGTCTGTCGCGTCGATGCCACAGCTTTCCGGTTTCCATATAACGGTCCTCGGCAAACAGCTCTATTTCGAAAAGGTTTCCTCTTAGGTGATTTTCTTCTTTCTTCAAAATTGCTGTGTCTCCAGAGAATATAACTTCGATACTGGCTGTCATCATTATCCTGACTGACATGAGATTCTCTCGCAGTTCCGGTACAAACAACTCGTTCGTGACATTGACACCGTTGATTTCATAGGGATCGCTGGCCGAGTATACGAACTTACCAGGTAATCACTACAGCCTGAATCCAGCTTAAATAGGATTTTTCCAGCCTGCTTCTGTCCGCATCGTCCAATATCTGCCATAAAACTCACCGAGTTCTTCTTAACGAAATTCGCTTCGCATTTGATTTGCTTACGTTTACCGCATCCATGGCACTTTCCGATGAACTCCTGCTGCCTTTGTCCTGCAAACGCTGCTGGTTTTGATTCCACAAAATCTACCTGGCGGTCCGTTCCGCTTTGAATCCTCTACCAGTAGCCGTTGCTTGACGAGATTCAACGTTAAATCATTTTCCAGGGCCGTCACAAGCGGATCATATGAATCCGGCAACTTTTAGAAGAGCTGCGACACCAGATCTGCCTCAAACAGGGTAGCACTAGCCGTCTTCAAATTCCTCACCAGTTCATCAAACTCCAAGAAGTGGTTTCTCATATCGCTTCCTTCTGCGCAGCCGCGCCATCTGCTTCCGGATTTTGGCTTGTTCCCGATTTCTTAGCGTATGTTGCCTCCAAAGCTTCGTCATTGTCTTCTCCCGGACGACCTCTAGACAGTCGTCAGCCAGGCAGCTTACCAACAGCGCTTTTGCTTAGCGGTCCTTTTCCAAAAACTTGGTTACTATTCCGTTAGCACTTCTGAGACTCCTGTCGCTTCCAAGAATAGCCTGACACAGAATCAATTCTCATATTCACCGGCGTTTACTTTAAACTGCGGTATTTCGCGAGCGAGGTCCTTCTGTGTGGTGCCCATAACCAATTGAGGACTTTCAGGGACTTGCGGGATTTGAATGACTTTAATTAAACCATCCCAGAATAAACCGAAAAAGTGTACCAACGAGTGGTGTACCTTTCCTAAAACATATTCGTATTGGATTTACACCATATTTTTTTTTTATAATGCCTTTATTTTTCCAGGCTCATTTGCCGTAGCTTTGCGGAGCCGATATTCACTGTTCAGATTACAAAATTTCTTAAAACTAACGTTAGTAAAGCGGGGGCCGATTACTCGCGGCTATCTCGAGGTTAGGGGTAACAAATTGTAACAAATGGATGGCAGGGAAGGGATTGAGAACACAAGGTTTGGAGAGCAATATGCTCTTGATCTCGAACTAAGCGACCAACTGATGAAAAAGACAAACATGGGGGTACACCGATGGGCAGCTAACAACTTGGGGGAACACAAGATGACACTAACTACTAAATCCTCAGATCTATCCGTTTTAAAAACACATAAATTAAATTGCAATAGTCGAGATCTCGGTTCGCCAAGATGTCTCTAACGGGCCGCATAGGTTGTTTTCCTCGGGCCCTGAGGGATGCGGATAACTTGGATCTAGCAAGATGTATACCATATGCTATTATTAACTATTTTATTGATATCATACGAACACGTTCAAGTTCGCTTACACCAGAAAAGTGTCCGCAGAAGCCCGCCACGACGGTATTTTCAAACTTTCATCAACTAACAATTCTAAACCCCATTCCAGAAAACATCAATTTCCTGACGGCCGATGGAAAGCGGTTTGCTCACCCGCTGCATCATCTTGGCAAAAGCCAATCGGACCTGCCGCTGATAGCGATTGACTCTTTCCGGCATATGTACCTGTTCCCCAGCTTCAAGGATATGTACGCTCCAGGCAAGCTGAAGCAGTTTCTGAGTGATCTCTACAGCGGAAAACTCCATCGGTAAGCCATCGAACTTCCATTCTGAACAGCATTGCCCATTTACACGGTTATCTCCTCAACAGCGAATTCCATTACGGCCCGGACCGGAACGACGACAACACGATCGAAGTGGTGATGATAAATGGGGACACGAAGAGAGGTACCTCGCCACCGGAGTCGACCTTCAAGAATCTGGGACCGTCGAATAAGCGGTACACGCTGCTCAAGGATGAACTGTAAATAGGAAAAAAATGGCACAACAAAACCGACAAAGGGATGTAAACCTCGATTTCCATATTTTTGGAACAGTTCAGATAATCTTCTCTTTATCTACAACATCCGTTTAAAATTTGCATCCTTTTTTTTTGTATTGATCCCTCAATCAACCCAACCTACTAGTGAGAAAAATGAAAATTTAACCCTAATTTTTATCTGTCCTAAAACCTATTTTTACAACCGTTTTTCTGTTGCACCAAAATTCTTTGTGTGTAAACGAGAAACCTTTCTCGCCTAGGGCTTACTATTACGCACTAGTGATATGAACTAAACATAGAAACCGTGAACACTAACACACATACCTATTAGGAGAGACATTCTAAAAGTTGCAACAGGTTTGATAATTCTTAAAACGGATAACCGAGTGAATGCGAAAGCGCGAGACAATGTGTGTGACTGATTGCTGCTGGTGAGTAGGTCTTGAGGTTTTGTTTAGAACCATTCTGGTTGCTTGCAGTACCGTTTGTAGTAGTGTTCGGCATTTTCTCTTCGCCTAAATTTATCCAATTTGATTCAATAGGAAGCGCAGCAGTGCAGGCAGAGACGGTGGATCCCGGCTAGCTGTCGGAACGAACAGTGATACTTAGTTACACATTTTATACGGTACGAATTGAGTTAGGAAAAGATAAACTAAACTAATTTATGTCAATCAGAAACAGTCAGAATTGCAGAAAAGGCTAAAATGTGTAGCAACAGTTTTTCTTTTGTTAACTCGTACTACAAGAGTCTGTAAAGTAAAACAAGATATAAGAGTACCTACCCGTGTCGTCTCATTCATTTGGAAAGAAATCTTGAGGAGGTTGTAGCCAAGACACGAGCGCAAATTTGACGTTTGATTACGAAAGGTAGTGTTGATGTTAAATCAACAAACTTTTCTAACAAAAGAATGCATGGGATGAAGGTTTCGAATAAGTTGAAAATACCATTGATATGATCTCTAAAGGAGTCAATAAACATGTCAGTTCACTGTTTTATGCCAAATAGCCATAATACCAATAGATTCAGGTAATGCTTTAGCACATACAAACAGACATAACACTCGCAAGTTGTTCATCGAACCAGAATTTAACAGTCAATTTAAAAGTATCGTAGTTTGTAGTACCGCCACCTGTGGCGCGTATAGTCAATTCTCTTGCGTTTGACGTTTATACACTACCGCCATCTGTTCAGCGTAGTGCCCACCAAAGTGTACTCAACAGATGGCGGTAATGTATTAGCGACGATGTTTTACAGTGAGAAATATTCAATGGGCTATGTCTGTTTGTCTGTGGCTTTAGTATTTAATTGAGTTATTTAGTGAACACTAGTTATGCCTGACTTTATCAGTGAGAAATGCCGATGGGTTGGAATTCGGAAGCAATTTTGATGTGCTCTGTAGGTGTCCTTGTAGTAGATGCCAATCCTGGACGAATTTAATCAGCGATATATAAAGGAATAAGACTCTGTCAAAAGATTCAAGCTACAAGAATAAATAATGATCCGGTTACAGCAACTTTTAAATATCATCACAAGTACGAATCGTTTTCTTGGTTTTTGATCTGATTCAGTGTGTAACAAGAGGCGTACAGTCTCTGAAGCATTCGTCGATCGATTCACTTACTGATACAACATTCACGAGGATCTCAGTTGATGTACATATTCATGGTACCATCTGAGTAGTAGCAACAATCAATACGAAACTAACGATTTTAAATTGGCTCACTACTTGACTAGCCTATTGGTCCCAAGCAAACGATTAACGTACCTCATTCTAGTCGAAATTATACTACTACACAATATTTGTTTTGATTTGCTATGAAAGTTTGACAGATAAAATGAGGGGTTATTGGATTTTCCTATGTTTCGAGGGGTGAATCGATTAGCTTGGGACCGAAGAGAGTACCAGAGCTGAGTCAAAAAGTTGATCCGTTTCTTCGCGACCTTCTGGTCTTAGAGTTACCTCTATGGTAGTAGTCAAGCAGTTTAGTCCGGCTTTGGCTCGCTCAATCGAGTTGTTTGAGTTGCGCGTTTGTTCGCGTCGTAGTGCCGGTCGCATCGTGTGAAGTGGAGAACAGTGGTGAAGGTAGCTCGTGCGTACCTATCACAAATAGGTCCTCTACTCTTCCCACCGATGTTGGGAATGCCCCACCAGCGGAGGTGAAGTGGACGAAGAAAAGGGCCAGTCCGATGGTGCGAGTGGCCCCGACACCGTGACGAACGTCAGCGACATCGGTGATTTCGGTGATTTCACTGGTGGTGATGAAAGTGCCACTCAGCACGCTCATTGGCGATCTCACATCGCTGTGTGTTGCAGCTGAATTCAAGCTGAGCAGGATCGGCATCAAGGTGATGCTGCGTACCAAAGCGGAGTATGGAGCAACCGTGAAGTATCTGAAGGATTCCAGGGCGGAATACTTCACACAGCCCTTCAAGGTAGTCATCAGTGGTTTACCGAACTTCGACCCCAAGTCGATCGAAGAAGAACTCAAGGACCATTACAAGCTAGCCCCAATCGCAGTCTTCCGGATGACGAGGAGAGACGAAAACGTAAAAACGTACCCGGATTGCCTTTTCCTGGTGCATTTCCAGAAGGGAACGGTGACCATCCGCTCCATCAACTCCATCATTGTTCAATGGGAGGCATACCGTTGCGGCCGCCACGACGTCAGCCAGTGTCAGCTTTGCTTGAATTTCGGGCACGGCACCCGAAACTGCTACATCAAGCCGCGCTGTGGCAAATGCGTCTCCTCCGAGTGCGTTGTCAACGAGTCGGATCCGACAAACAGTGCTCCAAACGCGAGGATTTCAAACGGATCCAAAAGCAGGCGTCCACAAGAAGCCAACCAGGACGAAAGAAGGAAAACACTCCGGCATTCAGGGTGGAGGACTTCCCGCCTCTTCGTGCTACGCACCACGGTCAAGCAAATCCACGGGTGCAATCCGGCCCCCGTCAAGAAACGTCTGGTGCCTCAGCTGGACAAAGCTTTCCATCCCCCCTGGATTCTGGAGACAACCAACAGCACAAAACGCCAATCCCGATCTGTTCTCTGCGGATGAGGTGATGAAGATTTTCGTCGACATGACCAGCGCTCTTCGTAAGTGCCGCAATAAGCTCGAACAAATGCAAGTGCTCGGTAAGTTTATCATTCAGTATGGTGTCTAAAGCATTAACTATCATCACTTGGAACGCTTGCTCTGTGCGAGCAAAAAAATCGAGCTTGCTGACTTCCTCCGCAAGCATAGTATCGACGTGAGAGAGACCCATCTCAAATCCAGCGACAGCTTTTGGTTGCCTGATCACAACATTATCCGACTTGATCGCACCCAGATGGGGGGGGGGGGGGGGGTGTTGCGGTCATCATCAAGAAGAGGATCAAGTTTCACACCCTGCAACACATGAAATTCAAGAACGACCTCACCACTTGTTAGACTCTTGTCATTTCAAAGTCACAACAAAGACAGGATCGGTTTTTATATCAGTGCTTTATATATTCTCTTCACACTCTTCCTTTCACACACACAAATACACTTATTGCTGTATACCACAACAAGCAGAAATAAAGTTTCATTCCGAGTTAGTTAGTCAACCGTACTACACGTTGTTTCCTTTCTCTGTACTGCGCATATCACAGCAGGTTATGGGCCTGCGCGTGAAGAAAATACATAAGTGACGCCATTTTTTTCTGAATTCGTTAAATTTTCGTCGCGGTTTTTGTTGTTCCTCGCGGCAGCCGTCGTCGGAGTGCAACTAAATGGATGGATCCCGTTTTAGCATCCAGAAATTAAACAACATCAACTACCACAGTTGGCGTTTTAAAGTGGAGCTGGCACTCATCCGCGAGGAGCTTTGGCGCTATGTTGAGCCAGGAGTAAAGCCGGATGCCGAAGCAGCTGCTGTTTGGGATGCAGGGGACGTAAAGGCGAGAGCTAACCATCGGGCTCCTGATTAATGATAATCAGCATAGCCTGATTCGTGCTGTGAGAACCGTAAGACTAACCTGGTTGGCATTGAAAAATCACCACGAGAAAACCAGCCTAATTTCCAAAGTTTCCCTTCTGAAACGCATTTGCGATAAACGCTACTCGGAGGGGGAAAGTATGGAGGAGCATGTGTTTGCCATGGAGGAGTTGTTTTCACGGCTGGCTAACGCTGGGCAGGAGTTGGCAGAAAATCTCGCTGTCGCAATGATCCTGCGAAGTCTTCCGAGCTCGTTCGACGCATTGATAACTGCCCTCGAGAGCCGAGCAGAAGCCGACCTTACGTTGAAGCTGGTGAAAAGGAAAATTTTGGACGAAGCTGCCATGCGTCAGGGCTCAGTGTTGAAGGTTAAGGAGGAAAGCAGAAAGAAGAAGCAGATCATCTGTCATTTCTGCAAGCAGCCGGGACATAAACAAAAGTTTTGCCGGCAGTTCATTCGGGAGGCGGAAAACCGGAGCAGCGCTCAGCCGCAGCGCACCAAAAAAAAAAGAAGATAGTGTTTCGTTTGCGTTCGTGACCTGTGTTACCGGGAGTGACAATATGGACAAACGCCACACCGTTGCGGACCGAGATTTTTTCGTTGAATTGCCCCCTAGCGATGTGAAGTACGTTAAGCTGGCGAACGGAAAAGTGGCTAAAGTGGAAGGCGAAGGTTGCGGGGAAATCAAGTGCTGTGACGAAAAAGGTGAACGCAGAAAGATGCAGCTAAGTTCGGCATTGTACATCCCCACTCTGGTGATGAATTTGCTTTCGGTGTCAGCGCTCATACAGAAGCAAACGACAGTGGTTTTTAGCGCCAGTGGTTGCCAAATCAAGCAAGATGACGTGACAGTAGCGATGGCCGGTCTCAAGCAGGGATTGTACCAGTTGAAGCGGCCCGACGAGGTTGATTTGGTAGCAAAGAGCCAACACGCCTATTGTAAACACGTTTGGCACAGGAGGTTTGGCCATCGGGAGCCGAATGTCATCAGGATTTTGGAAAAGCGCAACCTGAATGGACTTGAGGTAGTCGCGTGTGTCGTCGATCAACCTTGTGAATGCTGCCTAAAAGGTAAGAGTAAACATATTCCATTCCCTAAAGAGTCCAAATCGCAAACCGTGGCTCACTTAGATATCGTTCACACCGATGTGTGTGGCCCGGTGGAAGTCCCTTCGGTGAGCGGATACCGATACTTTATGACGGTAATTGATGATTTCTCTCGTTACTGTACGGTGTATCTTCTGAAGGAGAAGTCGGAAGTGGCCGACAAGATGGAAGAGTACGTCGCCTACGTGAAGAACCACTTCGGCCGCAGTCCGAAAATTGTGCGATCGGATCAAGGAGGGGAATACTCTAGGAAGCGGCTGCGGTATTTCTACAAAGGACAGGGGATTGGTGCCCAGTTTACAGCGGGGTACAGCCCACAGCAGAATGGAGTGGCTGAACGTCGCAACCGCTATCTTGTGGAGATGGTTCGATGTTTGTTGTTTGAGGCTGACCTTCCGCAGTGCTATTGGGCAGAGGCTTTGATTGAGTACAGCGGTGTACCTCCAGAATAGTTTTAATTTAGCGAAAACGGTTAACATTTTTACCGGCAGGTCTGTAAATCAGCTTCATCACTGACTTCGGTGAAATATTTTACTGATGTTTCGGTAAACAAAGCGTTCCATTACTGAGTTCAGTAACGGTCTAGGTAAACGTCAAATCCACCATATTGT